GTTACAAGGTGTATGACAGTACCAGTGACAAGGTGTATGACAGTACCAGTTACAAGGTGTATGACAGTACCAGTGACAAGGTGTATGACAGTACCAGTGACAAGGTGTATGCCAGTACCAGTGACAAGGTGTATGACAGAACCAGTGTCAAGGTGTATGGCAGTACCAGTGTCACGGTGTATGACAGTACCAGTGTCACGGTGTATGACAGTACCAGTGTCAAGGTGTATGACAGTACCAGTGACAAGGTGTATGACAGTACCAGTGTCAAGGTGTATGACAGTGCCAGTGACAAGGTGTATGACAGTACCAGTGACAAGGTGTATGACAGTACCAGTGATAAGGTGTATGACAGTGCCAGTGTCACGGTGTATGACAGTACCAGTGACAAGGTGTATGACAGTACCAATGTCAAGGTGTATGACAGTACCAGTGACAAGGTGTATGACAGTGCCAGTGACAAGGTGTATGACAGTACCAGTGACAAGGTGTATGACAGTGCCAGTGTCACGGTGTATGACAGTACCAGTTACAAGGTGTATGACAGTACCAGTGTCACGGTGTATGACAGTACCAGTGTCACGGTGTATGACAGTGCCAGTGACAAGGTGTATGACAGTACCAGTGTCACGGTGTATGACAGTACCAGTGTCACGGTGTATGACAGTACCAGTGACAAGGTGTATGACAGTACCAGTGTCACGGTGTATGACAGTACCAGTGTCAAGGTGTATGACAGTACCAGTGACAAGGTGTATGACAGTACCAGTGTCAAGGTGTATGACAGTGCCAGTGACAAGGTGTATGACAGTACCAGTGACAAGGTGTATGACAGTACCAGTGACAAGGTGTATGACAGTACCAGTGACAAGGTGTATGACAGTGCCAGTGACAAGGTGTATGACAGTGCCAGTGACAAGGTGTATGACAGTGCCAGTGACAAGGTGTATGACAGTGCCAGTGACAAGGTGTATGACAGTGCCAGTGACAAGGTGTATGACAGTGCCAGTGACAAGGTGTATGACAGTGCCAGTGACAAGGTGTATGACAGTACCAGTGTCAAGGTGTATGACAGTACCAGTGTCAAGGTGTATGACAGTGCCAGTGACAAGGTGTATGACAGTACCAGTGACAAGGAGTATGACAGTACCAGTTACAAGGTGTATGACAGTACCAGTGACAAGGTGTATGACAGTACCAGTGACAAGGTGTATGACAGCACCAGTGACAAGGTGTATGACAGTACCAGTGTCAAGGTGTATGACAGTACCAGTGTCAAGGTGTATGACAGTACCAGTGTCACGGTGTATGACAGTACCAGTGTCACGGTGTATGACAGTACCAGTGTCAAGGTGTATGACAGTACCAGTGACAAGGTGTATGACAGTTCCAGTGTCACGGTGTATGACAGTACCAGTTACAAGGTGTATGACAGTACCAGTGACAAGGTGTATGACAGTACCAGTGTCACGGTGTATGACAGTACCAGTGTCACGGTGTATGACAGTACCAGTTACAAGGTGTATGACAGTACCAGTGACAAGGTGTATGACAGTACCAGTGTCAAGGTGTATGACAGTACCAGTTACAAGGTGTATGACAGTACCAGTGACAAGGTGTATGACAGTACCAGTTACAAGGTGTATGACAGTACCAGTGACAAGGTGTATGACAGTACCAGTGACAAGGTGTATGACAGTACCAGTGACAAGGTGTATGACAGTACCAGTGACAAGGTGTATGACAGTACCAGTGTCAAGGTGTATGACAGTACCAGTGTCACGGTGTATGACAGTACCAGTGTCACGGTGTATGACAGTACCAGTGTCAAGGTGTATGACAGTACCAGTGACAAGGTGTATGACAGTACCAGTGTCAAGGTGTATGACAGTGCCAGTGACAAGGGGTATGACAGTACCAGTGACAAGGTGTATGACAGTACCAGTGACAAGGTGTATGACAGTGCCAGTGTCACGGTGTATGACAGTACCAGTGACAAGGTGTATGACAGTAGCAATGTCAAGGTGTATGACAGTACCAGTGACAAGGTGTATGACAGTGCCAGTGACAAGGTGTATGACAGTACCAGTGACAAGGTGTATGACAGTGCCAGTGTCACGGTGTATGACAGTACCAGTTACAAGGTGTATGACAGTACCAGTGTCACGGTGTATGACAGTACCAGTGTCACGGTGTATGACAGTGCCAGTGACAAGGTGTATGACAGTACCAGTGTCACGGTGTATGACAGTACCAGTGTCACGGTGTATGACAGTACCAGTGACAAGGTGTATGACAGTACCAGTGTCACGGTGTATGACAGTACCAGTGTCAAGGTGTATGACAGTACCAGTGACAAGGTGTATGACAGTACCAGTGTCAAGGTGTATGACAGTGCCAGTGACAAGGTGTATGACAGTACCAGTGACAAGGTGTATGACAGTACCAGTGACAAGGTGTATGACAGTACCAGTGACAAGGTGTATGACAGTGCCAGTGACAAGGTGTATGACAGTGCCAGTGACAAGGTGTATGACAGTGCCAGTGACAAGGTGTATGACAGTGCCAGTGACAAGGTGTATGACAGTGCCAGTGACAAGGTGTATGACAGTGCCAGTGACAAGGTGTATGACAGTACCAGTGTCAAGGTGTATGACAGTGCCAGTGACAAGGAGTATGACAGTACCAGTGTCACGGTGTATGACAGT